GATGAGTTCTGGATGACTTCTCTAAGCAAATCCTGCTTGTTCAGTGCAGCGATGACCAGGCAGACGGCGGGAGCCAGGCAGCACCCATCCTTTACCACTGCAACCCATAGAAGACACCTGCGAACAGGTCCCTCTTCCATTGCATAATGATGCATGGCAGGTGAAAGAAAACTTAAATCTGTTAGAAAGTCTTTGTTAGGCAGTGTTGGCTGCGGTCCACGTGCTTGATAGCTTGGTCCCTTCCTGGGCTGTGCGGAACAGCATTGCTGTTCTGGGCTGTCTAATGCTGCCAAGTGAAAATTTCAATCAGCTATTGGGTACTCCTTTTTTGGATACCCTCTTTTTTTGTCATACTTTGTTGAAAAATGTGAACTGCATTTTCTGTCTGCTGCTTTCCAACAAAGTTGCTGGTTTTGAGATAGCTGTGGTAGTACAGGTCCTTCTGGAACTGCTCTTTTAGCATGAATCTGAGGTATTTGCCACAGTTGCCAGTAAAAAGGTTTAAAACGCTTCAAAATGCTTCAAGTTATTAGATGATAACCTACTTCTGCACCTTGACCCCTAACCTTAAAACCATGGTGTGGTGTTATTGTTAACCTTTTTTGCAATGCAACAGTTTCAGGAAAGTGCCATTTTCTTTAGCAGGATGGCCAGTTCATGAGCAACCAGTAATAAATGTGCGAGGGACTTGGGAGGTGAAGGACAGACCAAAACTCCAAAATCATCTATGCACGAGACTTGAAAGGAAATCTATCTCGCTGTAGGTACAGACCACTAAAGGCATCCCTGCCATTTCCAGACATTCAGACGTACCGTGGTTGTCGCATGAGAAACCTATAAGCAGATATACCTATAGGTCTGACCTCAGCCGGGGAAGACTGGCAGCCCAGAACACTGCTGGAAGGAGCAGGTTTCCTGCTGTAGCTCTCATTTGCTCTGGTGCATGAATGTGACCAAGTGCCGTTTCTGCAAATGTGTGTGATGTGTGAAAGCCAGTGGCCTGATTTCTCTGCCCTGTCTGTGCACCTTCTGCTTCCTTTAGAAGTTGATTTGTAGGTGTAGATTCTTGGTATTCTTAAAACTGACATGTATGTCCTGCTAATGGACTTTGATATTGTATTTCTAGAGCCATTTGTGTATGGCAAAAAGTTACTGTTCTTTGTTCTCTTTATCCCTTTCTGCTTCTCTCATCCTCCTGCTGTTTTACTGAGCATTTTGGAGTCCTGTTCTCTGCGTGTAGAACTGGGACTGTTGAAGCCAATTAGCAGTGGAAGTTGTAATAAATGTAGAGAAATCCAAATTAGGGTGGTATTTTTCACACCTTTTCTGATTTAAGTGTGGAATGGCTACCTGAGGCAAATTAGACAGTCTTGATTATGTTGTGCCTTTCTGGACTAAATCCTGGGTACAGTCCTGGGCTCAGTGAGAGGTAGTTTGGAAGGAATACTGTGGTCTGTTTTAACTGAGGCAATCAGACTAGATGATGTATTAGTTGTTTAGAAAGTAAAACTTTGCACCCTCTCTCAAATGGATGTGGATCATCAAATTTTGCTTCTCTGATGGCAAAGTCGCTTATCCTAGATTGTTGTGTAAAAATTGCTGTATGTACCCTGATTAAATCAATACTTGTTTTCTCTAGAGAGAAGCATGCTGTTTTTACTAGTAGCAAAATTGTCATGCTTTAATCTGCAGTCAGTGGGAGTTTAATAATAAAGTAACCAAATTGGTAGGTGTATTTGCAGACAAAATAAGTTAATGATTTTGCACAGCTTCTTTGTGTGGTGTTGTCAGCTGAAGTTTGCAGGAGTTAAAGGTAAGGGAGAGAAGGGCATGAGGGTGTAATTTTCCTACGACTTGTGTAAGTACTGCTGACAACTCTGCAAAATGTTGCAGGATTCCTCTTCCTTGGATGTGGCTCCATCTGACATATCTGTGTCTTGCAACTCCATTTGGAAGGTGCTCCGGGCCGTATTTCTGTCAAGACCCTACATATTCATGTTGCAGACCTGTATCATAAAGCATTAACTTAATTGTTATTTCTATCTTTTTTTTTTTTGATTCTAGATTTCTCTTTGCTTTGAGGTCTCTGGATGGTTTAGCTATGTTATCTGTTGCATAGACTGTAATTCTGTGCCAGGTGGCCGTGGCTGCTTGTAACCAAACTAGCATGATGTACGTATTCCAGCCAGGGTTCTCTAGGAATGACTTTGTTAATTAGCACAGGGCCCAGACTAGGGGAAAGGTACCTTGCCCAAAACACTTTGCTAATGAGACATTAGCAGTTGGTCTGAAGAGGTATCAGTCCCGCCTCAGCAGAAGCAAAGATTTAGAAGGAGGAGGTCCTTGAATTTAGTGGATTTGCCTTTTTTTTTTTTTATTAAAGTTTAATTGATCTATTTTTGCTGCTCAGCTCATGTTTCTGCTGAGCATAGCACTGTAAACAGATACAGTATCCTGCTGGCCTCCAGGCCTGCCAGGAGGAGCTGTGGGAAGGGAACTGGACCCCTGGAGAAGAGGGGAGGCTTCTGATGGATGACTTCTTTCTCATTTGGGGATAGTAAAAAAACAAAAAAATAAAATAAAAAAAAAGTCTTCCCAAAAAGCTTTGACTGAGACTGTAATAAAAAAATTGAAAAAAATTTTTTTTTTGTTTAATGTTTTCTCTCAATTTTATCTGTGGTCTGTGGGAATACTGTACAGAAAATAAGTAAGTCCAAACCTGATCTATCAAATGATTTTAAAAAGCATAATGTGTTAAGAAAATAGGGATTGGGCAAATTGTGCTGGTTATGGGTCCCTTATTTCTTACTGGTACCCTTATGGGTTATAAGAAACGGGGCACAGAAATCAGTAGAGTGTTGTCTTGCTTTTTCCAACTTAGACATCCTTTGGGCTAAGGATAGCACCGTGGGATGTGCAGATTTGTTCTCCAGAAATGAGACAAATGTGGCTACGGTAGAACAATAAGGCTACTGCTGTGGGTTTAGGAGTTGTTAAAAATGACTTGTAATTTGAAATCCTCAACTTCAAGGAGCTTAAGGGAAAGACAGTTATTTTTTGTGACTGAATTTGAGCACTATGAAGAAATGAGGCCCTCTGGAAGTAGGGTTTTAAAACCCTCTCTGGCAGGAGTGAGCAGCATCTGTATGGCTTGCTGTATCCCCGGACCATGCCCCATTTTTCTGAATTTGAATATCCATTTTGCACCCTGATTATAGTTTTTAAGATGTTTAATTGAAGTCTTGACACCTTCCCTCCCCTTTTCCCCCAGCTCTTTTTTTTTTTTTTTTTCCTTCTTTTTTTCTGTTGCATCTCTTTCCAGCTTCTCTGGGGTTGCTACCAGGTAGTTCTGCTCCTGAAAGTCAGTGGGGCTTCCTTGGGAAACCTGGTCTAGTTCCTATGGCAGACTAAGATGTGTAAAAGTAATGTTTTTGCATGCTCTGAGAGATTTTTTTTTTTTTTGTTTTTTTTGTTTCACAGCTCTGGTGCTGATAGGCACGTTATTTGCATGTGTAACCTCTGTGGTTATTTTGGAAGATGGGCTGTAGTGGGTGCCGTAAAAGCTGTTTGATAACAAATGGGGAGGGTTATACTTCGAAGACAGCAGTGTTGTCTGATCACTTGCTCTTTTTCAATCTTTTCTTAGTAAAAATAAATCTCAGTTTTAGTAAAAGCTTCAGTGGGCCTTTTGGCTGTGGTGGTTAATTTGTTAACAGCTTGTAAGCACCAGTTGTTGCAAGACTGGAGTTGTCAAATGCAACCTATTTTAACACTAAATTTTACCCTAATGTGGTTTTCTTGCTTGTCACGTTTTACATGATGGGGAGGAACTAATTTAGGTACTAAATAGCCATTAGTAATAATTACATTCAAATGTCACTATATATGTGTTGTTGATCTGATGGTTTTTGTCAGCTTCTAAAGAACGGGATTCACCAAAGGGCTCAAACTTTGAGAATTCGCTGGGATGCGAGTAGCTTTTTACGGTGTGTAAGTACAGTTCTTGGTGTCATGGGTCTTCTGAAGGCTATGGCAGCACCAAATCATAACTTACTATTGAGTTGATTCTTTAGAAGTCCTTAAGTATAAAAGAAATACGTGCTGTAATGTAAGGTAACAGAGAGCAGATGAAGTGCTGTTAGGTTGTGGCATCGACAATGTTGTCGTACTTCTCTTTTTACCACTGTGCAGCACTTCTTGGCTACTTGGATCCGTGAACTCTTTGTTCTGATTCATTCTGATCTTTGGAAGCCAAGTGTGAAACTTTGATGCCTATATATCTCCATCATCAATCAGCTTCCTGTTTCTATCCAGGACTACAAATGTAAAACCCATATATTTTGATGCATTGCTAAAAGGGATGAAAGGCTTTCATTCTAAACAAGTCAAGTATGTCCTGGGAGTCCTGACTTTACTAATAGCAATGACCACAAAATGAGTAGTGGGTTGTTTGTTTTTTGTAAAAGCACTAACAACTAACCACATGTGGGAGATGGGTTTCTTCTGCTTTTTGGAAAAATCAGCTTTGTAATGTAACTTAGACGCTTCAAAAGTTGGGAAGCCTTTTAAGTTTAGGCTTTCAGTAATTTAGTGCATGGTCTGTAGCTCTGATTTCTGTCCAAGGCAATGTTGCCGTTTATACTTCATCCTTCTTCTTCATAATGGAAAGTAATGGAGCAATGAAGGACTGTCTGGCAGGACAAGTAACTGGTGTAATTTCTTTTTTTTGTGGAGATGTTAAATGTTAACTTTACTTCCATTAATTGAAGATTTTTTTTACCCCTTGGATTCCTTTTAGTGCCCAGAAATAACTGTCTAGGCAGAGTTGGATGTTCTGGAGTTGAGCACGTGTAAGAGGCACTCCCACCTCAGCTCTGTTGGTAGCTGCTGAGTGCCCTCCCTCTTGTGACTGTACTCTGAAGGCCGATGGAGGCAGGGGCAAGGTTGGAAGCAAGGATCAAGAGATTTCTTTGTAAATAGGGTAATTTTGTCTTCCACAGGTGGATTTGCAATCGTGTTTCTTGTGAGGACTAATAATGGGATGAAATGTGCCCTGAAGCGGATGTACGTCAATAACGAGTATGACTTGCAAGTCTGCAAAAGAGAAATCCAAATCATGGTAAGTCACCACTTTGTACTGGGGCCCCAGACTGGGAGTGGAAGTGTGAGAGCGTGCTCGCCTTCTGCCTGTGGTCTGTGTAGCATCATGCCACAAGCCGTGGGTTTTCTTAGCAAAACTCTTTCTTTTGTGAAGACCTGACTCCTGGAGTTATGTAACTATGTGAAAAGTCTCATATTGAGTTATTTAAAATGTAAGTAGTATCGGTGGACAAGAAAAACATGGGAGCTGGAAAAGCAGAGGGAATTTCAGGAAAATGAGAGGAGGAAAAACTCCTATGTCAACCCCACGACTTAGTGGGAAAGGGAAGAGCTGAAGAGGTGAGCATCACTGGGGGTGTTAGACTTAAGTCTAACTATCTTCAGGGCTAAAGTCTCAAGCCTTTTAGATTTCATCAGAAAAGGCTGATGATTCTGATGTAACTGTCTCTGAATGAAAATCAATGCATGAATGGAAGACCTCCATCTTGAGATGAATTTTTATCACAACAGCTTCTAATCTTTTGCATTGGGATGAAGGCTATCTCTATTGCGGAGGCTGATAGAGTGAAACAGTATTTGTGGGGTAGTTCCTGCCTGGGCTTTTGAAACAGAGAAGTGTTTCTATAGTAAACGCTGGGATATTCCTCTAGATTATTGGATAGCAAAGAGTTATATGATAGGATGGCTATTTTTAACAGCTGTGTTAAACTTAGTGTTTCTAAACAAACAAAAAATGAGATGATCCAAATGGATTTGCTTAGTCTTGTTTGGAACCTGGTAAACTAAGTGCCACTTCTGAAGTTGTATTCAAAGATATTGATGAACATTTAGAACAACTGTGAGGTGGGAAAGGAAGTACAAAAATCCTTATTCTTCTGCTAATTTATCATATGAGGTATAGGTTTGGGATAGATGATCTTCATAGTGGAAGCTCTTACCTGTAGCAATTCTGGGTGTGTTTTTTGAAGTAGCTTTTAATTAGGTTAATACCTTTAAAGTTAACTTCTGGAGTTTGTGTGATGGTGCATTGAAGCTGATGGGCATGCTTTGTCATCACTGTAGCTAATGCTACATGGGAAAAATTGAGATTAGATCTTACATCAAAGGTTTTATCTGTGCTCACAAAGCTTGCTTACTTGGATCTTAGTTGCTGGTGCTTTTCATTGCCACCATGTCTTTGGTGCTTCTTTGAATGTGTGGCTAACCTGGAAAGTGAGGGCAAGAACTATCTATCCTTACTCGGCAGGTCCGCTTGCTCCTGTACTGAGTCTTGTCATAGCCCTGAATCTTACCTTTTGCTCTGAAGAACCAGTACATCACTAAAAGGACATATTTTCTTCTTTCCTAGCTTTTGTGCAATAAAGAAGTATTTTAAACTTCACTGCTCTTTTTGCAACCCTACAGCATTACAGCAGAATATGACTAGCAGAGTCTTGATTTGTCTTACTGGTGAAGCTGAACACTGAACTGGACTGGCTATCACACCTGGGAGTGTGTGTGAAGCTGGCAGTCCCAAAGAAATTACTTTTCCCCTGCAGGTTTAGCATGTGTCATGGATAAGTCATTGATATGAGAACTTGTGCTTTAATCCATCAAGTTACTTAAAATAAGGTACTTCTAAAAGCAAGATTAAAATTTACTTTACTTTAGTGGGCTTTTTGAGCATGTGATCATTTAAGATACTGTTTGCCAGCAGAAGAGTGGAAGGAGATGGAAAAAGTAAACACAACATTCACTGTACATGGCCACCACAAAACGTCTGCCTTGTTCTCCCCCCTATGTAAAGGAGTAACAGCTCCAGGTAGCTTGGCCTGGGCCGTCTAAGGGAACATGCAAAAATTTGGACTGATCCCTGGACAAGTTAGTTCAACAGGTTGGCTGTTTCTCTGCTGTATGTCTCAAATCCTTCTGGAAGAAAACCAGGTAGAGTCACCTCAGGTTTGTTCAAGTTTTGCATGACGATTAATCCAAAGTGATAGAAGCTTGCACCTAGACAGGAGGAGAGCTAAGCAAGCTCTGCAGTGTAGAAGAGCCAGATTAAAATGTTGCTTACTCTATATGGCTAGTTTATGCTTTGAATTTATTTATCTTACAGCGGGACCTATCTGGCCACAAGAACATTGTCGGATACATTGATTCCAGTATAAACTCGGTGAGCAGTGGCGATGTGTGGGAAGTGCTGATACTAATGGACTTCTGTCGAGGTGAGTGTGGGCTCTGTGTATTGTTCATTGGTAGATTTGTCCGTTTTCAGTGCTTACAGGAAACTTGCACAACAGCTTCCTTGGAAAAAACCAACCCGTTCCTTGGCCTGGCCCTTCTTTGGCTGCCAAGGAACTGTTCTGAACAAAGCAAAGCCAAAACGAAGTGTGGAGAAGTGGATGATACGTGAGGCTATGTTGACTCTGTTAATGGGACTGGTGTCACCTTTGCCCATGCCCATGGTGGTCCTAGATCCTTTCTGTTGTGAAGAAGAACCATTAAATACCTGTTGCTATTTTCTGTAGGCTGGCACACACAAGAAGTGTCTCTTCTAAAGCTGCCAGGCTGCAGAATTAAATTCTTCTTCACTTTATGTTGTATTGCAAGTTTTTTCCACTTCAGCCTGACTTAGGATTGTTCTGGAAGAAGCATGAAATGGATAATGTGAAGCTGAAAAGTATTCCTTTTACCTCTGACCTTTTTGCTTTGCTGTCTCTAGCCAGACAGGCTCTTCCAGTCTTTTCCAGCTGTCCCAAAGCTTTGATCTCTTGTGGCTAGGATGTGGTGTTTGGAAAATGACGCATGTGCTGTGCTGAGATGCCTCTCACAGGAATAATGTTAAGCAAAAATACTGTTTTGGCCAGGTGACTTCGGAAGTCTGTGACTGTTTTGGATGGTGGCAGCTGATGGTAATAGGTATTTTCAGGATTGTTCAGCTTTTAACTGAAGCCAGGTGCAAGAGCAACTAGATGCTAAAATACCTTTAAACACGTATGGTACAGCTTGCTGTTCTTCCTTCTGCCCTCTTTGGTGCTTCATTTTGATGCAGGAATCTTGACTAACTTGTATTGGGTTTCTTTGCTGGTAAGAGGAAGAACGTTGTGTGTAGTTTTGCTGAAGGAATCATTACGTAAGCTCTCTGTAAGCTTAAACCTAATTATCTCAAGGGGTATTGTAAGAAAGAGGCCTGGCAGTGCTAATAAATCCATACTCAGCTCCATGTTGCAGACTCCACTGTGGAAGGAAGTGCAAACCATAGCGATTCAGAACGCACTCCCTTCAGCTGCATTAGCCTCCCCTCTGTGTCAGATTTCGGGCTGATGAAGTAAAATCTGCCTAAGGTGTTCCCTTCCATCTGAAACGAGGAGAGCTGCAAGGTGGTATTTCTCATGCGGCTTGCTTTTGCCAGATGCTGTGCTTGGCACATGCTTGTCTGTCTCCAACATGCAGACTGAGGCACAGGAATTGCTGTTACATGTTGGATTTTCCCTTGTTACTTTCCTTTTGTGTCAAACAGTTTCCAAACCAAATTGGTGTGTCCTTGTGTGCAGAACCATGCTTGTTTTGAGTGCAAAATGTTCACAGCTGTATTTTTTAAGATGAGCTTTTCTTTTGTGTCATGAAAATAAAGTTTTCTAACACTTGTGATGTGAAATGATACAGTTTTACTTTGCCAAAGATTCAGAAAGGAGTTTTTTCTCTGTGTATATAGGGTGTTTGGAGGGGGGAAGAACTTCTGTGTGGATTGTTTTGGAAAGGCCTTGGCAGCAACAAAACCTCAAAGTTGAGGCAAATTCAGGACTCATTCATGAAAACTTGCTTTTGTTTGTCTGGAGTTCCCCCTGTTACAAATGGATTTTTTTTTTTTTTGCCAGTCTATGACTTTAGCTAAGCCACTTAGTAGTGTGTGGGATTTTTGAGCATCTCTTTCTCTCTCCTCTTGTTTACATGTGGCAAACTATTTTATGGACTGTGGGTACCTCAAATTCAGCAGTTTATTCCTTTAGTCTGACAAAAAAAGTCTTATTTTGAAGGAGAAAGAAAAAGATATGGCTTAGTTGGAATTACATTTGAGTGTTAACACAGGCAGGTGAATGTGGGACTTAAAAGCTAACTTGCTGCTCCTGAAGCATTGTTCAAAGACAAGATGAGATGTAATGCCTGCTGGCAGATATGCAAAACCCCTTGGGATTTAGGTGAGGAAATAAGAATTAAACAAGGTAAGCAGATGGCAAAAAACCTCTGGGAAAGGCTTGGTGTGAATTTTGAACTTAGACTTGTAAACTTCTTGTGTGCTCACTGTGCAGCCACAGCTTGATGGGGAGCAGACTAAGACAAGTTATGTCTAGTAGGATGGGGGCTTAGGCCAGGCCAGACCTCGTTTTGCGTACCTGCTCTGATTCTTGGTGTTTTTCTCCTCAGGAGGTCAAGTGGTGAACCTCATGAACCAACGCCTGCAGACAGGGTTCACGGAGAACGAGGTCCTGCAGATCTTCTGTGACACCTGTGAAGCTGTAGCCAGGTTGCATCAGTGTAAAACGCCAATAATCCACAGGGACTTGAAGGTGAGTTGTGGGCTCCAGTAATAGAGCAGTGAGCATGCATCCTCCTTAATGTGTCTGTTTGCTGCCTACGCTGCGGCAGACGGGTTTTGAATACCGGTACTGTGTTTCTGTTGTTAGTAATGAGGAAAAGTGGGCATAAATACATCTCTCTATTGGAAGATAAAAAAAGAAATGAGCCTCTCATTGCTGCTTACCATATGTTTACCATCTATAGATCTACTTAAAAAACACAAATGTTTGTGAATAATTCTGTTTTGCACAGGAGATGTGCCAGAATCTAGTTGATGAATTATTCATGATGACTTTCTACCACCTGAAACATTATTGATTTTTATAAGGTAGTTCACAAAAAGCATGCTGTAAATTTGTTTCCTGGACCCACGTTAAAAGGATCCCTCCAGAGATGTCAGCCTTGGGGCAGGAGTCTTTAGAAGCTTTTGAAACTGGCCTCTAACTCTCTGTTGACCATGAAAGTACATTGTAAAACTCTGTGTGCTTAGCTGGGAACAGAGCTCGGCCAGCAGGGAGAGCTTTTGAAAAATCCCATGCCTGTAATCAAACAAACAAACAAAAAGATGTTCCCTTTCCTCTCAACTAGCTTGTAAAATGTCTGAATAACATATTCAGCCAAGAAGGAGGCTCCTGTGTACATTTGAAATTCAGATGTGCTTTGTAGGTCAGGTTCTGTTTTCAGAGCCCTCAACAGATGTTTGTTTTGTGCTGCTGGCCATTATTTTGTAGGAGCAGAAGGTGCCACGTGTGCCAATGAGAGTGCAGGGTGGGGGGAAAATCCTCAGGGATTGGTATGCTTGAACATGTTTCAAAGATTGTGACCCCACTGCTTGGTCAGTTTTGAATATATGAAACAAGTCTGACATCTGTTTTTCTAGAGTGAAATGGGTGGAGTCTTATAAATTTGAGGCCTGTATTTAAAGCTGGAAAGGTCTGGGCATCTTGCATGAGTTTGTATAGGCAAGGAAAATGGGGATGAGAGGATGAGGTTTAGGAAGAGAATCTCTCCAGTTGATACTAACCCTGCTGTTACCTTTTTGGCAAATCCCTGGGGTTTTTTAATAAAGAACAAACTCATTGTGTGGCATGTGAATAAAATCTGGGACATCTGTGATGGATTAGTGAGTTGATCAGGAGTGTTACTTTCTACACTGAGTTGCAGTTGAAATGGACTGTTATGGTCTGATGTCCAGCCTACTCCGTGCTTAGATCAGTAAAGTTTTTGCAGGACCTGGCTCTTAGTTGGTAAGTTGTGCCCAAGGTCAGAGAGTTGGCTCTTTTCTGCTTTGAGACACGTTTCCCAGTTGAATATTGTATTATTTCTGTTGTGATGGCCTCTGAAGCTCCAATCACAATTGGGGATCTAACTACTAACACAGAATTCATGATTTAGATATGTTTTGACTTTGAGTTCACATTTAATAATGCCAAGGGGAGCTGCAATTCCAAGAGAGATTAAGGGCCAGAGAAGTTTTGTACAAGTTCTGAGTGTAAGGAAAGGCATCCATCAGGTAGGTGTTTTGTTGGGGTGAACATAACTCTGTTGAAGAGTGGGCAGATGTTGACTTTGCAAACAGCTGCATGGGGACTGGAGGCTTTTTTTGCCTTCCAGCTCTTTGATGTTGCTCTAATGCTGGAGATTCCTGCCCATAGAGCTGTGCCAGCAGAAGGGATTGTATGAATTGTCTTTAAGCCCTTTCAGAAAAACGCAGCTGGATTAGTTTCAGCGGCCTGTGGCTGGGATTTTTGAATTAACCCAACAGGCTTTGCCTGAAGCAGAACAACCTTCTGTTGGCACAGTCTCCAAGTGGTGGGAAGTGACCAGCAGCTGGGGACAACAGCACCTTTAAGCAGTGTGCCTGTGGGCAAAAGTGGACATCTCGGTGTGAATAAAGGATATGGAAAAGATAGTATGTCATCCCTCTGTGTTTAAGGTTTTCCTTCCTGATCTGACAATTAACTCTCAGGTTCTGTGTCAGTCTGTCCCTGTGTGCTTACAGCTGCATGATGTGTTCTACAGGGTGTGATGTTTAGTTTTATGTCCTCTGACTGCCACAAAAACAGGCGTATATTGATGCTGCTTTTTCCTAAAAATTAGGAAGCCCGTCATGTGCTGCCTCTGCCCTAGTTAGGACCCCTATAGAGTCAGTGTAAACCTACTGGCAGTGGGCTTGCCTTGCGTGGTTACCTTTTGCTTGTTCTTGCAGGTATTTTCCTCAGCCTCAGGGTTCATAGGCCATTGCTGCTGCAGGGCATTCCCTAAAAAATTTATTCCGTGCTCCCGAGTAAGAACACTTCCTATGTCTTTAGGTTAGGCTTTTAGAAAACAAAGAACAAATGGCCAAACCTTCTTATGGCCACCTGTTAGATTACTCTGGCTGTGAAGTCTCTGCTTCTAAGTTGGAATCTATGCAGAGAAACTGTAACTGTCAGACCCCAGAAGAGTAGGATTTAGTGAGGTGGAAGGAGGGAAAAATCTATCTGGGTCTGATGGTTTACACAACTACCCTATACCTAGTGGCAGCTGTCTGCATAATTGTTTTATATTTAACCTTGTATTTCCAGTCTCATGTGCTATAACACGTGTTGTTCAAAGTGCCAGTTTAGAGCCAACTTTGATTTCCATGGCTCAGAGCTTTCTGCAGTGACAGGTCTCCCATTTCCACATGTGATACTTCTGCGAGTTTGAACCCATACGGTTCCAGGAGTAGATGACTGGCTTGCAGACGAGTGCCTGAATTTTCTTGTAGTAAACACACAGCAGGATGCAGCAATATACCATGTCAGTCAAACCAGAGGATGCTGTTGATCAGAACATCTCTCTCCTTTCCTTTCTCTATTTTCTGAAATAACCAGAAGGTTGTGCTCTTATGTTAAGGATTTAGTTTCTTCTGCTTTCATTTTAGTAGGAGTCCTCCCAGTGCTGTGCTTCCGTCTGGTGTGATAAGAGAGTGGCACTGTGCTGCTGTTATCTCTGTGCTGTCTTCCATCATCCTTCTTTGTAATGCCAAATCTTGCTGTGATGACACCAACAAGCCTTTGCCTGGAATTTGTTTGCACGGATCTGTGTTCAGTGTGTGATACGTGAAATCGTTCAGTCCTCTAATGGTAAAGCCTTGTATCGACCATGTTAAGAATACGCCCGTGCCAAAATCAGTTAGTGGTCTTAGATGTCACATTGCATTCATTTCTTTGCTATGAAATACTAAAGAAGCTTTCAGAAGTAAGTAGTGAATGGTGCCAGGGGAGGAAAGGAAGTAGAAACATGTCTAGAGAGACTTGAAGGTGCTGGAAAGCAGTCAGAAAGGGTACCTTGGTCGTGCATCCCTCCCAGATTGCTACCTCAATTTATAAATACTGGCCTCAGAAGCCATTGCTCTCACAAGAGGATAATGTGTGTGATTTTGCTAAAGAAAGCCATATTCCTTATCCCTCACCAGTTTGTGTCTGCAGTGTTTTTACAACTTCTGCTTGTAGCAAAGAAAAGCATTTGTTTCAGAGAGTAGAAACTTGCTACATTCTGTAACTAACAAAACTTATGGCAACTCATAGTTTCCCTTAATCTTGTTTGACAACTAAATCTGACTTTAAGTGTTGGGCATTTCAAAGACTGCGGCCAGAGTTGTGAGTGCTCAGCAATGCTGAAAACTGGATTGCAGCTTTCTGAGTGTTTGACTGGAAAAAGGCACCTCCATACTTCTCCTAAAAGACAGTTTTCTCTTAGCAGTAATTCAGATACTTTGTTTTGCTGTTTGTTTTTTTTTTTTTTTTTTTTCTTCCTTTTTTTCTGGAAGTTACTGAACAAGCCTGGTTGCTGGATAGTCCAGTGCTAACGTTTAATAAAATTTGCAGGATGTTTCAGTGAGAAGTCACGTCAGACTTCTCAGCCAAATAAAGTGGAAGGATTCTTCTGGAAATGTTTGATGAATATTTGCAGGGAATAGGGAATAATGCTGTCAGTGTTGATCTGCTAGGGAGAACATCTGTGTGCAATGCTTTATTCAAAGCAGATGGATAGCAGAGGGGGGAAGGGGCGTTGTTTAACCCTTGGTTTCAAGCCAGCCTTTCCCCCCCTCAGCTGCTCTAATTTGGCTGCATTTTCTGATACTTAAAATGCTGACTACTACTTTTTCTTTCCTTCTTGTAAAGATCATTCTTGATGGGGACGTCTGCTTCCAAAAAATGTTGTTAGTGAACACTAATGTGGTGATTTTTTTTTTAAATATGTGAGCTGTGTGTTTTATCTGATTGTTGTATCTGAGTGTTTGACATTGATTGAAGATAAATACATTAAAAAGTGTATGCATTCCCTTGAGAGAACATGTTGTTAATGCTGCTGTACAGATCAGGAATGGGAGTATGGGTCTGCTCTGCCAAAGCAAAGAACTGAATCCAGGTTTGTCCACATCTTATGTCAGTGTCAAAACATTTAGACAGCTTTCCTAGGTGGATGCAAGCTATGTTTTTGTTAATGCATGATGAAGTGTGCATATTTAGGGGAAAGGCAGTGACTCTGCTGATTTTTTTTTTTTTTTTTTAATTTTTTTTCAGCAATCCCAGGTGTTTGTTTCAGCATTTGTTTCAGTTGTCTAATTCAAGCTACCAAATACTTGAAAGAAAGGGCTCATCTCCTCAGCAACTGGGAGGAACCTCTGGTGTACAACCACTGTTTAGGGATTACAGGGTACCCACCACGCTGATAACAAACAACTGAAGTGCGAGCATAAACTGAGGCTTGTTTTGAATGAGACTCTGAGTGAAAGGTGAAAAGCAGACGGAGAACTGGAGATGTATTACAGTTTCATAAAGCATAGACATGCGTGTGCTGTCATCCATTTGCCTCCTCTCTGCCCCACTAGACAGCGAGGGGGTGTAACTCTTTATAAAGCTGTGGACAGCTTGTATTAGCTGTCTTGAATTCAGGTGCTAGGCTGTGGGTTATAGTAGCTCAGGGAGGTTGAGCACTGAAGACACCAGGACACAGTTCCTGTCCTGAAGCACTTATCAGACTCAGAAGAGGTAAGGTGGTGTGCTTGCAAAAGGAGAAAGGAGAGGTGGCAGGATAGAAGGTAGCATTACAACTATGCTTCCGTGATTTGACTTCTATTTTAGGAGATGTGACAGAGTATTGATGTGTATTTTCCTTGCTGTCATGTTAGGCTTTTATGCCAGATGTGTCTGATTTGTCATCAGGCACTAAAAACCCTGGCTTATTGAAAGAAAACTAATGTTTTTTTGTCTGAGTGATTCTGTATTTGTCTGTGGTGCTCGTAGGTTGAAAACATCCTGCTGCATGATCGTGGCCACTATGTCCTGTGTGACTTTGGAAGTGCTACTAACAAATTCCAGAACCCTCAAACAGAAGGGGTGAATGCGGTAGAGGAGGAGATCAAAAAGTAAGTGTGCTTTTCTTTTTCAACTCTGGCATAGTTTGTATCTGAAGAGCAATTTTTTCTTGCACTAGGACTAAATTTTACTCAGGCCTGGTGTAGCAGATTGGATGCTGCTGCATAGAAGTGTCTGCTGCAGGTAAATAAGTGCCTGGGGGAAGGTGAAACAATAAATTGAGCTTGATGTAATTGCTTTAGACCTGAAAGACTGAGCATGCTAATGCAGAGAACTTGCCCACCTTGTCAAGGTAGTGACATGTTCTGTTACCTATGGGGTCAGTCTATCTCTGTCCTTCATCTATCTTGGCTTCTTTGAACTGCAATACAGCAGATGACAAAATCCCTGTCTGCCATGAGCAACTCATCATAAATCCTTGCAGTGACTAAGGGAATGCATGGCCTAACTCTTCAGATCTTCACAGAAAATTCAAGGACCTTGAGGTGTTTAATTTGGCTCCTTTTGCCCCATGCACAGCCAGCTGTAGTGGTAGCAACTACGTGCACCTTGATGCTTTTAAAAAGGGAACTTAGGTGGCAGTTCAGTAGGACCTAGATCAGGAGTGGTGCAGACTCCAGGTCCTTGGTCTTGCTGTAGTTTTAACATCACTGCTACTGTTCTGTTACTGTAACATTCTGGTTAGAAAACAGTGTGTTAAAAATGTGTGCAAATGCCTCCTTTTTGTTAGGATTCAATGGCACCTGCATGGATTTCCTACACTTGTTTGTTTGACTGAACTTTTTAAAGTGCTCCTAGTCTGGATTTGCAGTCCCTTTGGAATGCTGTGTTTGTACACTTATTAACAAGCCTACAAAAACTTTGCCTTTAGCAATGCTTTCTTGTGATCAAGATAAATAGCATGCAAGGTGCCATAGCAGAAACTATAGACCTACTGATAGGAAATCTTATCGTAAGAGTCTCTTAAACTGTGGCACAGTTTCCAGCTTTTCTATTTGTAGTGATTTGTTAAAATGCGGCAGATTCTAGCTATAGTTGGAGATATGAAATAACCTTTCCCTTGTTTACAGTGAGTGAGCAGGAGTCCTGGTGTGGAAGTCTGTCTATTAGGAGCCACATATCCAGTTACAATCTTTGTAATACAGTTGGCCAAAGCCCCAGCAGTGAGGACATTGCAGAGGACATTTGACTACTGACCTTGTTACTCTGAATCCTTGAATATTTCTGTTCTAGTTCTTAACATGACTGCACTGTTTTGTGAGTAAATTGCTTGCTTCAGAAAGGATCTTGGTTACCACTTTGGTTTCACAAGGCAGTTTGCAGTGGTTAGTGTTTTATTGTTAGAGGTATATAGCAGATGCTGCTGTTAAAAGATTTTTCCAATAGATTATCTTCTTTAGTATCACTTTCCCTAAAATGAATAGGGAAAGAGTGGATTTTGAATAATTTGGAAAGGTGACATAGTGAAAATGCATCTGATATCCATTTCGAACTCACCGATAGCTCTTTCTGCTACAGGTACACTACATTATCCTACAGAGCACCAGAAATGGTCAACCTGTATAGTGGCAAACTTATTACTACAAAAGCAGACATATGGGTATGTATAAAAACTGCTTAACATCATAGAACCAGACTGCAGCTTGCTTTCATTACCATAATGACAGGGTAACTATCTGGCTGGGGCTAACCTAGTTTCCTTAAGAGGCTGGACAGTTTCTGAATAAAGAATTCCTCTGCTTGACATTTCTGATGAGTTACTGCTGAGCAGGGTGGTTTGTAGATAAAATATATGTGCTTCTTTACATATTACCTCCCACATGGTATTAATTTAGAGATGTATGAAATTGCAGGGTTAAACAGTGCAGACTTGATTTTGTATCTTAAGAGTTAAAACAGAAAATTCAGAGCATTGTGACTTCTTGTGCCTGGGTTGGGTTGCAAGCATGCGCAATCAAAGTTACTGGTCAGAATTTAGTAGAAAACTGAGAAAACAGACCTTCCCCCAGGAGCAGTAGTGTGCTTATCCTGGACAGCGTAATACAGGTCTTAGTTGTCGAACCTGGCCAAAGACCAAGCTTTTGCATTGCTGTTTCTAATGATCAGCACAATCTTGCCATGCTTTTCATGTTGAGAGCAAAATGCAACTGTAGCGTAATCTATTACTGGCTAACCTGATCGAGAATGGAAGGCTTCCCTTTAGTTGGGACGGAGATGAAAAAAAAGTCTGTGCCATTTGTAGTGTAGTGGCAATTCAGCAAATGGGATGCATTTAAAATGCTAATTCAGAGCATATTTGTATGGTTTTTGAAGCCCTGAGCTAGGAAGTAACAAGGCAGCAGCAATATAAGGAGAGTTTTAATGTATCTTCAATAGCTCTGCATCTGCATATACAAGAGGGAAAATTGCTGGCATGACATCTGCTGGGAAGAGTCCTCTGTCCTCTCTGAGCTCAGCTCGGAGTCAGGAAAGCAGCAGCTCCTGTGGGGCTCTTTCTCTGCTGAGTTCAGCAGGAGGTTTGTAGAACGAGGCCCTGTACCAGTGCTGGGTCACTCGCCTTGGTGTTAGAGACCTGGAGAGGGAAGGTCACAGCTGAAACAGCATGAAAAGATTGTCAAGGCCTCAAAGGCAGCCAGAGAACCTAGGATTTGCACTCCTTCCTGTGATAATGTGGAAAGGCAGAGACCCAAAGGCTCTCCTCTTTCTGGCATGGAAGGAATTTTGTTCTAGTGACCTGCTGAGCGTTTCCAAACAAGCTTGCAGTGGTGTGCACAGTGGGGCCTTGGCTTCAAGGCCTGTTGCAACACTTGTCCTGCTGGAAACCTTCCTTTCCTTAAATTTTATCAAGGTTATTTTAAACTAAAGTGCAATTTAATTGTGAAATTCTGTGACAAAAAAAAGAGAAGCTGATGATGAGTTGCTTCGGATTAGGAAATGTTTCCCCCTCTCCCCTTTGAGATGGTGGGAGTGTTTCAGTGTTTCATAATTAGCCCTTTGTGCAAAACTTGTATTTTCTTTTGAAATAGGTGGTGGCTCTTGCTGTCAAAAGCAGCACGGAAATAGATGGAAGGGTGGTATAACCCAGCAGCCTGCAGACTTATCTGTATATCTCTCCCTGGAACATATTTGTAACGGTTGAAAGGTTGTTTGAACTTAAGCTTGGAAACAACAGTTTGGATTTTTCTTTGCCAGAATAAATGTATTAAGGATAATGGTTACCATTTAGTTTTGCTATTACTTTGCTTTTTCCTCCCAGTATGTGTCAGAAGCAGGCCTTGCCTGTTTAATGACATGAAGGGTCATGCTATGTGAGTATGTGGAGCTGTGGGGTGTGTGTGATGACACTCACAATCCCTCGGGGTTACAGTATTTCAGCCTAGCGAGGGAAAGCTCTTCATGTATTTATCTTCCCATATAACTGTGCTTGTTTTCAAGTTGATCACAGGGATGTTAAAATGTAGGCCTGATGTCATGTGGGACCTGAACAAGCTAGAGCACTTTCCCTGTTATCTGCAGTGGTATTTGAATTGTACCATTCCCTGCTTTGCTTTGGTTTGTTAAATCCTTTGCTCCGTTCTCTCTTTTCAGGCCCTTGGCTGTTTACTGTACAAGCTGTGTTACTTCACCTTGCCATTTGGGGAGAGTCAGGTGGCAATCTGTGATGGCAATTTCACCATTCCAGATAATTCTCGGCACTCGCAAGACATGCACTGCCTCATCCGTGAGTGTCTCTGACAGTGGCGTAATCTGCTTCCACAGAACTAAAAAACCAGTAGAGGTGTTTTTCTCTTATATTCCCTGTTCCTACAGTAAAAACGTTGGTGTTTCTCTTTTAAAAGACTTGCTTGCACACAGGGGTGGTTAAAGTGATGTTGTAGTAGCTTAGGAGATCACCCTTTGAAAGACAGTTAGGGTACAGAGATTTCTCTTTGGCTAGGCTGTAGTGAACTCTGTGGAAAGGCAGGAAAACAGACGACCATTTGGTTTGAAAGTCCTACAGAAACTTGCACAATAAGCCTATTTATGCAGAAACGTATTTCTCCAGTAATAAATCTATTTGGATAAGGAACTGAAAAGAGCCACAGTGACTTAGAGGAGCGATAAGAATTCATCTTCTGTGAATTGAGAAACAGAACTGAAATGATTTATAAATAACCCACTGACTAGAATGAATGTGTAATTAACGGTACAATGTACTACTCTTGGCAAAGCTGGGGCAGCTCTCTTGTTTTGAGCACAGCATTTGATTTTTATTTTTTTTTTTTTCCCTAGCCACAATCTTGACTAACACAGAGTTGGATGTGTTTGCAGAGCAGCCTGGTATTTTCTTTTCTTATGTGGTGGTATATGTGCAGTGATCTATGTGGCTGGCCTGTCTTCCTGCCCCACTGGCACACTGGGGTTGGATCAAGCTCTTTTCCTGTGGGTTTACTTGGAAATGCAGAAGTCAAAACCAATGCTATTCCCTGACTAAGCAGACTGCATTTCCTCTCCTTGCCCTAGAGCCTTCGATAGCAGCTACAAGTTGTTTGTAGCTGTATTGGAAAATATGTCCTAGTCAATCCTAACGGTCTGTCTTGCCACTTTCTCAGCTGGCCCTGATGATCAGCTCAGCCCTGCTGACCACCGACGGGGTGCTTTGAAAGAGGCAGGGGGCCCTGGTAGCATCTGGTTATACCGAATGTAGAATCATAGCGTGGTTTGGGTTGAAGGGACCTTTAAAGGTCATCTAGTCCAACCCCCTGCCATGAGCAGGGACATCTTCAGCTAGATCAGGTTGCTCAGAGCCCTGCCCGGCCTGACCTTGAATGTTTCCAGGGATGGGGAATCTGCAGCCTCTCTGGGCAACCTGGGCCAGTGCCTCACCATCCTCACAGGAAAGAATTTCCTGTTTATATCTAGTCAGATACACTGCCACAAATGGCTCACATGAATCTGTGTTCTATTGCTCTGATGTTAGCATCTCTGTCTTCTAAAGGATATATGCTTGAGCCAGACCCTGATAAGAGACCTGATATTTATCAGGTCTCCTACTTTGCATTCAAATTGGCGAAGAAGGAGTGCCCAGTCCAGAACGTCCAGGTGAGTAGCAAAGGAGTGGACTGATGTAGGGCTTTGAGGGAGGAGGCTGGGGATGACAATTGATGAATATTGAGCATTCTGCCATAATCTGTAGGTTGTTCCCCAGTTCTGTAATTAGGAGGTTGTTTTTTTTTAATTAGCACTGTTTGGGTTTGGGTTTTTTTGGGAAGATGGAGGCAGGAATTCAGGGTTTTGTTTCATATGTTTCCTATTTCTCTTTGTCCCTGGTTTACCTCCTCACCCAGTTACCAATGTGAGGCCAACCCAGAGATTTTGTGCATGTGAACATGGAAAAACAGGCCGTGCTTGTGAAACAGATTTGATCTCCAGGCACATTCATCATAGCGTGTGTAATTTGTGATGCAGTTGGTTTTAAACATAGCAGTTTTGTGTCTGCCGTCTGGCTGGGATTGCATTTGAACTATGTCGGGCCTTTATGCAACCATCTGCCCCTTCTTTGTGTATCTTTATAGACTTCACCTGAAAAATAGAGTTGACAAGTATTTTTTTTATGGTGTTATAGACATCTGTGACATGACATTTTATTTTGTTGTTTCCAGGTAAGAAACCACCTATTTTTTTTTTCTCCCCATGTTCAGGTGGTTATTTATGGTCTTTATAAGACAGGCATAGTAGTACCAAAACCGTGTATTTTTTATAGCAGTATTAATATGTATTGCTGCTATTGTCCTCACATTGTCTTTTAAAAATACCCAGATTATGCTATGAAGCTTTGTGTTCAGATTCCACATGTAGCAAATGGTCAAAAAGCTGAACTGTACTTTTCCCTTGTAAAGACTGTTACAAATTACTATCCTCTCATGATGTTAATATTGAGGGATTTGTCCTGTGTCCAGCATGAGGAATAATTGCCTCCATTTCACCATTTCATTGTGATGCTTTTGCAAATTATTTCCGATTCTGTCGTCTTCCTTCAAAATACAAAATTTGGTGTTTTTGGGATCTGCAGAACTCTCCAATCCCTGCTAAACTCCCAGACCCAGTTAAAGCAAGCGAAGCTGCTGCAAAGAAGAGTCAACCAAAGGCCAGGTAACCACATCTGCATTATGCTCAGCCCTCTCTCTCTTTATTGTCTGTTGTCTTTCTGCTGTTTATTAGGAAAGATGCTTGATATATTTAGGTGTTTCCATGTGGGCTTACATTTACACATGGAGACAAGCACTGCGGTCCTGAGCCTTCTGCTTCAATGACATAAATAACCATTGATCTCATTGATCTGAAAGGCAGAAAATGCAGATATTAGGGGAAGTTTTTCTGCATGGAGGGGCTGGGGGTGGGACTTGGGTGATACTCAGCATGACTCAACAGCTAGGCTCTTTGCACTGAAGGCATTGCTTGACAGCACCACTTGCAGTTCGTGCACTTAGATGAATCTAGTGTGTCATCCATCCGGCGGCAGTACCCGGAGTACCTGAGAGCAAAGGCAGGAGAGAGACTGCAGTGGGCCTGGAACTGGCTCAAAGAACACGAGTCTGCTGAGAAACCACATCAGGGGCTACTGCTGTTTGAATTTGACTCTTGACAGATGATAACCTGACCTAGTAATTACTGTATGAAATTGCTGTGATTTCTGCAAGAGTCCTATAATTTCTTTGTGGGTGGGGGGGATGAAAGCCCAATCAGTCTCCATCTGAAAAGTCCAGTTAGTGGGGAAACCACTGCTGTGGTTTTTCTCCTCTCCTGCTGCTGCTTGCTCTGCTTATGATACTGCAACGGAGACTTGTAAATATTGTTGGACAAAACTTGTACCTTATTTTACTGAAAAGTGAGCAGTACAGCAGTGGGCACTCTGAAACCAGTGGGTTTCTTCAGACTCTGAAATGGGGCCTCTCTCCTCCTGTCTGTCAATCCTAGGAGTCTTTGTTTTTATAATTGAGTGCAGTTACTCTCACATTAGTAGAACAACTTGATACCTAACAAGCAAATGTGTCCACAGAAGGGCAGGGTGGTGTCTGGCTGCTTGGCTCTGTTACTATGCGTTTTTGGAGCTCAGTAAATATTAGAGATCAGAAGAGGTTGATGACCTGATTCTGGGATAGATGTACTAAAGTTAGGGTACTTGTAAAGATGGCAGTTTAGACAACTCTGCCCAAAGGTACTGCTGCTCTTAAGCTAATTTATGTCCTTCGTCTGCTCATCCAGAACTCTGAGTGGATTTAAACAATATGTCATAGCAAATATTTGAATGAATTGAGTGATTTTGACAAGTTCCAGCTGTCCAACAGGAGAAGATGCCACAATTAGCAAAGAAGTCACAATTACAGTCCTTGGATTAATTGCTGTGAATGCATCCATGACGTCTTACTGTGCCTGTAGTTTTCTAGAAAGAGTTGCTCTGGGTGTCTGGATGTCCACAAGGGTTTCACCTTTATCAGTCACATACTGCTAAAGTATGGATCAGTTTTTAAACCGCTACTGTGCGTTGCATGCACCAGCTATCAGGCTAACAAGGACTGCGCTCTTACTGCTCTTCCTTTTATTCCTTACCTTATTTTGTAGGCTGACAGATCCCATCCCTACAACAGAAACCTCCATAGCACCCCGCCAGAGGCCCAAGGCAGGACAGACACAACCCAACCCTGGAATTTTGCCCATTCAGCCAGCCCTGACGCCCAGGAAGAGGCCCACGGCTCAAGCAGCCATTCAGCCGCAAGGTGAAACCCCATTCCCTGTGTGGTGCCTTCCTGCTGGGCGCTGTGCACCGCAGGGCTGTGGTGCATGTCAGTCTAATGGATCTATCCTTTTGTTTTTTTCCTTTTTATCTCTCCCCAACACCACCACCAGTTGCAGGACCTGCTGCCCTGGGCAGTGCTCAGCCTTCGCTCCCTGCAAGCGTCCCCCAGCAAAAAGCAGCACCCCAGCAGACTCCGGCACAGCCACAAGCCAAGCAGGCACCAGCTCCGCAGCAGGCCTCACCGGCGCAGCCCCAGGTCCCTTCTACTCAGCCACAAGCCACACCTCAGCACCAACAGCAGCTCTTCTTGAAGCAGCAGCTTCTGCAACAGCAGCAGCAGCAGCAACAGGCTGCGTATTACCAGCAGCAGCAGATGATGCAAGCTCAGCAGGTAGGCATGCATGGCCGTGTTTGTTGCATGCTTCCTGGGCTAGAGGCCTGCAAGGCTGTATCTTTGCATTTATGGCAAGAACTCTGCTTTTTGTGGTGATAGGTGTAGTTCTTAGGCATTTTCCAATGTGTCTCCAGTTCTCTAGCAAGACTTTCTGCTATGTGAGGCTGGCGTTTTTAACTGTCAATGTGGAAGTCCTTGATATAGTTTTGTCATGTACGAACGTAAGATAAGCAGTGCTGGTTAAGGTTTTACAGCTCCAAGTGCTTCAGGGTCTTGAGGTCAGTACTCAACTGATGAGCAGAGGGGTATGGTTTCTCTTCTGCTCTCTTTGTGACACAAGAGCCTGGCGTGGCTTTTCAATGGTAAGATTCAGGTCTGGTTTTATGGTAGACTGCAGTGGTAAGAAGGCCTGTGAACACCTGATGTGTTAAATGGGATGTGTCTAGAATACAGACTTGTATGCTTAACTGAGGTGTTTATAGCAGCACAGATCTCAGCTAAAGCATATTTAACAGTGGAGGCAAAGGGGCAGTAAATCTTCCTATCCTGGGGAAAGGTTTAGAGTTGATAAAAATGGAGAAAGGAGTTTGGGACTGCAGGACAGTCTGTGCTGTGGGAGCCCCGTACGGGCAGGGGTAACAGAACGGATCTAACGTCAGACCAGAAGGCCATTTTCCACCCCTCCTTTGCAGATGGTCTCCAAGCCATCACAGCCCGTCCCTCCTTTGCCGCTTGCAGTGGCTGTAACCGTTCCGTGGCTGGCCCCAGGTTCTGGTGGTGGTGCCCCAGTTCCCAGCTGCGCAACGAGCAGCTCAACAAGTTGTCGTTTCCCAGTTCCCAGTGATGCAGCAAGGAGCGCCAGCACAGCAACAGCTGATGCAGAACTACTACCAGCAGCAGCAACAGCAGCAGCAGATGATGGCCCAGCAGGCAGCAATGCAGCAGAAGACGGCAGCAGTTCAGCAAAAGCAGCAAGCCCCGGCACCGCCGCAGCCCCAAGCCCAGCAAAGCGCGGCCCAGCCGGCGCAGCCACAGGAGCAAGTGGTAAGAGCCTTGTGGGAAGGAGCAAGGCAGCAGGATCTGGAGTGCTGGCAAGTGCTCTTCTGCTAGGCCTGACATTCTGGGAACACCCCAGCAGGGTGGCTGGCTGTTCGGGCCCACAGAGCCCCGGTAATCAGTGCTCTAGGGCCTGCTGGCCCCTACTGCCTTATTACTGAGTCTCAGATGTCAGCACTAACCTTGCTGTGCCAGAGACATGTGCAATTGTTTGGACTGCTCTTTCCAGTGGGATTCTGGACTCCGGAGTTGTGCTCTGGGTCCATAGAAAGAAGATGAGTAGAAAGCAGATGAGAAGGCATAAGTAGCTGCTTAATGCAGCTTCTCTCTATTCCTCCCCTGTCATGTTGCCTTAGAAGACGTGATAAATGCTTTTTGAAATTATCTGTACTTAATGCATTGGGATGGGCATCAGGCAACAGAACTACTTTGTTGCTGCTTTTTTCAAAAACTTTGGTCTCATATTCTGGGCTCTGATGTAAAGGAAGGTGTAAGCAGCCTCCCTGGTTGTTTCTGGCATTGGGATAACTTTTTTTCTTTAATTAATACTATAGAAAGGAGACTTTTAAAGCACCATATCTAAAAATAAATAAGTTATCCACTTTACTAATCAACTGAATGTGCATCCAAAATAAATGCTCTTTACTTAATGGAAAATATGGCTGTCCACAACAGGGAAATAGCCAGCTGTCTGCAGTGTTGAAGGCAGGGGAGCTGTGCCAGAGGGCAGGTTCCCCATTGCCAAAGTATCTCTGCAGTACATATGGGAGGAAGCTGTGCCTTTTGTTTTCATTCCTGCGCAATCCCATCCGCTCTTGCTTGGTTTTGGGGGCGCAAAGGGATGTCCCTAACTCTAGTTGTGTGTTGGAAGGAAAGTACACGCAGGCACCACACAAGAGGAGGCTGCCCATTATTTTGCTGTACTGGGCTGTACGTGTGCAAAGCAAACGCCATCTGATAACAAACCCCTTCAGGTACACAGTGTTTGAGTCCAAACTAGGGGTCAATTTGTGCTTGCTTGTCCATGAGTTGCCAGTTATTCAGGACCTACTTAATCTCCTGAGCACGCTTCCTTTTGAAGTGGCATCAGGAATTAATTTAACTAATAAACTCCATAAGCCAGTGACCTGAGCAATGCTGGGAAAGCATTGTTTGTTTTACTCTGCTGTGTCTCAAGACTTTGTCATAGTCACCCCCTTTGCTTTTATATTAATTTTCAGCATTAAACTGGTTGGTAAGGTAGGTGACAGGCTTGGAGCCGTTGTGTTCCTGAACTTGTTATTGTTTTGCTGAATGACCTGGGGCAAGTCAGTTTGAAACTGGTGGGAGATTTTCAGTACATTCAGACAGGTTTTGGATGAGGCCCATTATTACCCTGTTCCTTTTAGAGGAGAAATGCCTGAATGTGGTGCTGAAGTGCATCTCTAAAGAGCTTTGCTGTGATTCACTAGCACAAAAACAGTCTTAATTTTATTAAATCAGCTAGATTGAAAATTAGCCCTATTCCCCCTGAATGGCTGATCAGAACAGACACATCTGGACACTTTTCCACTCCTGCAGCATCAAGAGGGGAAAAGCAGTGTTTGGCTCATTTCAAAAATGATATTGAGACATGGTCTCTGCAGAGCAGAGTTTCCGAGCAGAACATACCAAGTCAGGACCCATCAAAACCTTTTCACATTGCGAGACTTTAGTTTAATAAGCTCTGCATTCATTCCCGTGGTGATTTTGGCACTGCCCTTTTATTTCTCAGCACCAAATGTACTGTTCTGCAGTGACCTATATAGTGAGATGTAAGGTGGGTGCTTCAGAAGCAGTCAGGTCAGCTTGCTTCTCAGCTGCAGTGAAATAGTCTGCCTGAAAATGCCAAATGAAAAGCGAGTGAGCTAACCACTTGTTTGCCTTGCCCCACTGTGGTTAAGCACCGTGCTGGAGATGTAACTCTTTCTCTTTGTCTCATCTTGGGTCTTTCCAAGTCATCTGTCTTCCTTGGTTGAAAATGGCCTGGGACGTTACAGGGTGGGGAGCAGGGAGCTAGTGCCCAGGTAGTGGAGGTGACATGCACAGCTCTGCTCTTTACATTCTAGTTTTCCTGCTTTAAATCCAGCCATGACATCTCATGGACAGACAGACTTTGAAAAATCACCTAAGAGGAAGTCATGATGTTGTTTGTCACTGCAAAACAGTATTTCAAGTATTTATGGGTTTGAGTTTAACACAAGACTAAGGTAATGGAAAAATAAGATCAATTTGAGGAAACCCCTTGAAGTTTCCAAAGGGTTTGTAGCTGGGCTATCTTGGCTTACACCTAAACCAAACATGCTGGTTTTCTCCTCCAGATTTTAATGACAAATGTTGCGCCCGTGGTTCTTGTTTTTTTTCTTTAAACTAAAAGAAAACTAAGAAAGCTTCTTGCACAAGATTTCTGCAGAAGACCTGTAACCCTTTAGGGATTTGGCCATAATCACACATTATCTACTGGAAGAAGTGCTGCTCTTCACCTTAGCCCCACTCCTTGTGTCCCTATGACAAGACTCCTGCACACTGTGATCTGATTTCCTTTTTTACCTCTGCCCTGGATCTCAGCCTCTTTACTCATGAGTAAGTTTCTGAGACCAGTTAGCCTTTAATGACAAGCGCTAATAAGAGTCTTTGCCTCCAGAGCTGCACTGTAGAAAGGGGAGAAAGTCTCTGCTTGTACAATTGTAGTTATCCTGAAATACTATAGGTCAGTGAGTTCCCCCATGCTCCCAATTCTTTTATTTGTTTGTGTTTTCCCCTTCAGACTGTCCCCAACCCATGACTTGAAGGTCAGATCCTCCAGCATATAGCTGTTTTTTCATCATGGTGGTTGTTCACAAACAAGTACATAGCCATTTAACTTTCTGTCCTAGATGCAGGCACAAATGAGGCAACAGCAAAAACCCCAAACCACACCTCCCCCAGCAGTGCAAGGACAGAAGCTAGGCTCTCTCACCCCTCCATCCTCCCCCAAGACACAGCGTGCGGGACACAGGAGGATTCTGAGCGACGTGACCCACAGTGCGGTTTTTGGAGTTCCAGCAAGCAAGTCTACTCAGCTCCTGCAGGCAGCTGCTGCTGAAGCCAGTCTCAACAAGTCCAAGTAGGTGGCTGGTCACCTGGGGTTGAAGGGTATGGAGGGAGGGGTTCAATGAAGCTCTTCAGAGATTTGCTAGGCAAAGCTCTGAGATAAAGGTAGGCAGAAACTCTTGAGGTCTAAATGAGTCTTTGCCTTCCCACAGTTTAGGGCTTGGCAGAAAGTTGCTGAAGAGCTTTCCCAAAGGCAGAAGTCCTCCTGAGTGCTTCCATGCTCCCCAGAAGCTAAGCAAACAGGGCCTTCCTCTGGTTTACAAAAGCTAGCATCGATTCAGCTGTTCCATCAGCAGCCCTGGTGCATGCTTCACGCTTGCTGTTTAGCATCAGCACTTCCCCAGGAGTGCTTGCTAGCTCACTTTGGTAGTGTCTATAGGTGAGGAGCCTTCCTGTGGGCTTTGCAGAAAACTGTTTCAAATGGGATGCTTATGATGCTTATTTTAATCCCTGACACCAGGATGCTCAACCAGAGTATGAGTAGATAAGGCTAACTGGTCCCAGCTTTCTGGGCATGTAAGTACAATAACTTGTGCTGCGTGTCTTAAGTAGGAAGTAATGATAATGCAGTAGTTTGGACCAGCTGATAGTGCTGGCTAGATGATTTCAGATGGGTTATTAATGACTGTTGTTTGGTTGGGATGATCACATCCAGATCTGCTTCCACCACACCCTCGGGTTCCCCAAGGACCTCACAGCAGAATGTCTATAACCCGCCTGATGTCTCCACGTGGAATCCGTTTGATGATGATAACTTCTCCAAACTCACAGCTGAGGAGCTGCTGAACAAGGACTTTGCAAAGCTAGGTGACGGTAGGTTCATGGAGATGGTTTTAAGACCAGCCTGCTCTCAAAACAGAAGATGGCATGGAATCATGATGCTTTCGGCTGGGGTGCTCCCATATTATCATGGTCCTCTGTGCCTGTAAGAGCTAAATCCTTCCAATTTCCCTTCTTAGTCCCTGTCCTCTGCTGAGCAATTGCAATTAAATGAGCATGATACTCCAAGGGAGAGGTACTAACTTCGTTTAAAGTAGCCTTGATCCGTTGGTTGTAGAAGCTGCAGTTTAAACTCTGTTTCATCTGCAAGTTATGATTTGCAGGAAGGGGTGTGAGTCACATACTGAAATAGTGTTGTAAGAAGTCTAGGTAAAGAACTTACCTTCAGAGTGGATGTTTCCCCCTTAAATCTGCATCTGGCATTTTAGGGAAAGCTCCAGAAAAGATGGGCAGTTCCACAGAGAACTTGATTCCGGGTTTCCAGCCGGCTTCATCTGCAACCCAGGCGGATGCGTTTGGTGGCTCTTCCTTCACTGCTGGATCAGGTGGGTTTGTGAATATGGGGCAATGCCCTGGGCAGCACTGCAGAAAAATGGCAACTCTGTGTCATAGGATCTTTCGAAGGAATGTAAACCTGATATAAACTGAGCTGGGCCTTGGCACTGAGAGCTGTAGGATAGAGTTGGCAGCAGTTCAGTGAAGAAGAGAAGGTAGGATGGGCACGTGTACTTGTCACAGCTGGGTAGCAGAGGCAGGAGGCACTGTGTATAGGTAGAGCTGAGGCTTTTGGTGAAGGAAGAAATCGAGCCCCTTAAGTTCACAAGAAAGCTTCTTAGTATGTTGAAGTTCCATGCAGCTCATAATTAGAAGTAAAATATGCAGTGTGCAGTAAGGGAATGGGACTCAGATGTCGGTCAGACATGCTGGAGGATATTCCTTGCCTGTGGTTGTTAGGCTGTATGAAGAAGGGGATAATAATGTCTGTGCCACAGAATGAGGAGTGTAGCAGAGACCAGGAGTGAGCAGGGAAAATCCTCAGAGGAGAGCACAGTCAGTCTCATAACTGACATGTTAAATGATGAAGGTAAGAAGTTTTGCACTGTCTGTGCTGTTTGGGTCCAGAGGCCGGGAGTCCTTGGCTGGTCTAAGGAGCTTTTCTGCAGAGGCCTCTGCATGTGTGACCTTGTCTGGTGTCTCCTTTGGTACTTGGGTACCGAGGTTTATGCCATGAGCAGCCCCTTCTGTGCCAAAAAAACTTGGTAAGTGCTGCTGCTTGTTTCTAGTTCTTCAGCATTAATTCTTACTCAATGCAGCAAGGACTTGCCAAACAGAGTATTGGAAAATTGCTTCCAGGGGCCCGAAATGCAAGTAATCCTCCCCTGCCTTGGGCAGTCATTGTTACTGGTGACACATGCAACTGTCTGATGCTTCCCCACGGAAGCGCACCGACCCTTAGTGAGAGGAGTCCTGGGAAGAGGTTGAAGAATCCTTTGTGGAGCAAGAAGCGATCAATCCATTTATGATTATGTCTATTTATAAAAAGAGATTTAGAGGAGCTTATAACTGAGCTTGCTATTGTTGGCTCTTACCTGAGAATTAAGGAGTTGAAGTCCATGACACAGGAGTGCTCTAGTGAGTTGCTTTCTGAGTTTGTTCAGCCGTTCAGTGCCCTGTGAACGATTTATAATGTTCCATCAGCATTTGTGGAGTGAGGTTGAGTGTAGCAGCAGCTCCAGATTCAGCTATAACATACCTTTTGTAAAGCTTGAGAAGCATCTGCCTGTTCTGGGCTTTCTGGATGCTGTAGCATGTTCATTTCTTAGAGTCTTTAAAATGTGCCCCTTGACTCTCCTGTCCTGTGGTTTGGCGTATGAAGGTGTCTTGGAAATTTTCTTGGTGCTGGCACAGAGCTGGGCATTTCTAGCCCTTTTATTTTTCTTTCCTCATAGATACAAGCTTGTCTAAGTCTGTCTTACACAAGATGCTGTATCTTTTATTTCAAAGAGGCCCAACATGGGGGCTGACCTGCTTCATGCCCTTTAAGGCATTTCACCTTTTGTGCCACTGTAAAGCGAGATAATAGTACTTCCTTTTCAAGGAATGTTTTGAATCTGTGGGTTAAAGTGTGTTGGAGAGCTATGTGGTAATAGTGTGGTGGTTTTTTGTTTCACTAGCAACCGAAACTTGTTCTGAGCATGCATGTCTATATTATTCTTGTCAGGCTATAGCTTGGACTGTAATACTGAGCTGTGCCTGTGCTGAGGTTTTGTTTGATGCTTTCTGCTTTTCTGTCTTCTCTGTTTCACTCTGCCTTTTCTCTTCCTGGTTATTAGCTGAAAAAACGAAAGACATTCTGAGTTTGGACACTAGCCCTCCTCTTCTGACTGTGCCTGATCCTTTCATTCCTCTCCCGTTATCCGACACGCCAGGTAACTGGAACTGAGTTTATGGAGGGGGGCAGAGTCTTGTTGTTTGTTTTGTACTCTTAATCTTCTGGTTCTATTTCTTAGGCACACCTGAGATCCTGGGCCTCAGCCAGTGGTGCTGGGTGCTGACAAACGCTGCTGTGCTCAGTGGTAGTAATGATGTGTAGCACTTTCTGCCAGTGAATCTCTCCGTGGTGATGGGAGCTGTGCTGAGCACACGAGCCCTTAGTTTTCCTGGCAAACCCTGAAACTTTGAAATTGTAGTTTTTATTATTGTTAGTCTTCCTTTCCCGTAAGAGTCAGTGTTTCTTTCACTTCCAAGGTCTATTGCAAATGCATGCTTTGTGTGAAGCACAAGTTAAGATGTAACCTTTTCTGAATTGGCAAAATTTTCTAGTGCAGTTGGTAGCTATTTCCATTTACTTTGCAGTACTACTTGAAAGTCTTTCCTGTGTGCACATTTCTGACTGCAGCAGCCAACACTTTTTAGCACAAGATTATGTAATTGCTTAGGAGTTTATTTGTGAATCAGTGGGATTTGGAATATGGGAATGTTTTTATCCTGGCGTTTCTCTAAGCCCTCTGGTGAATGTGTGTGACAGGTCCCTTCTTGTCCGCTAGCCCCAGAGGACAAGTGCTTGTTACAGCTCTCACCCTTGTCCTTGGCTCAAGCTGTGGATCACTGGTGGTTTGACAGTAGAGGACCCAGGCTTCAAAATGATGTACTTGTAAAGATGGCATCTCTCCATGGAAAGTTAAGCAATTCCGGGGGAAAAAAAAAAAAAAAAAATCTATTTTTTTCCATAACTGTGTGGAACTTGCTTCCTTCTGGTTGATGCTCAAAGAGCACAAGGAGTGTGTTTTGATTCAGAAGGGATTTTACTCATAAATGCTGCAGTTTGAGAAAAGAAGCAGAACTTACAGGCTTTCTCCCCGGTATGAGCTCTAGCCAGGAGCTGACCTGCCCAACTTCAGTTTGAAAAGAACCTACAGGAGACAGATGACTGCATGTTTTTCTTCCCTCTTGCTATTGGAAGTGTTGGTTTGCCTGACTTGAATTCTGTCAGCCCAGACTCCAATTTAGTTCTCTGCCAGCGTGCTCAGCACATGCAGTTGCACACAGAGATGGCTGTTTTCCTTATTGCCTATTGCATTTTGATATAGAACAACACTATGAAGCAGCAGTTGCAGCCTTAACTGGAAGAGCTCAGAAATTCTTTATAGTACAGAAACCACTGCGAAGCAATTGCCTTTCAACCCTGCCCTTGGGTGCAAATAATCAGAGCAGCAGTTGTCTGCAGTTTTTGTGGGGCCAGGTTGCTCATGCCACAAATCTGTCCCTGATGGGCTGTGTATCTTTGCAGGCAGGTGCTAAACCTCCTTTTGCTAATTGCTTTCACTGCATGTGTCTGGTCCTACTGAGTTCAGCGGCTCTCCCTCCATGGGGGCAAAGTGGGGGGCAAGGGCATGGAGGAGACCTGGCTTCATTGGCTTCCTGCAGGTTCCTGCAAAGACATCTCTGAATTCTCCTTTTTATTTTCTAAACTTTTTTTTTTAGCATAAGACTTAAGGCTGGGAGCTCATTAATGTTTTTCAAGGACCAGAGCTACAGACTTATCCTTAGCTTTGAAAACTGAGAGGGGTTGTCTGTGCTTATAAATCCAACAGAAAAGAAAAAAAATCCTGGATTTGGACTCAGGTTTTCAATCTATGTGTGTATCGTGCAGAACAGGGTTGTCTTTGTTCTTCTTTATCTGCATTACCTGTGCAGAACCCATCCCCACAGTAAGCAGAAAGGTCTTGGACGAGAGGGATGTGCTGACTTTCATGTGAAAAGCATTCTTTTAGGTGTGCCCCTTGGGTCAGTAGAGCTGGGATTGACTTTAGTCTCTTAGTATATCAGGATCTGCAGTTGCACGTCTCCAAGCTGCCTTAGTTTTGTGCACAAGCAGCTGAATTTCTTTGAATGCTTGCTAAATATTTGCTTTCTGTTTGGAATATTTTTATTTCTGAGAGAACCTTGACAGTGAATCTCATTGCTTTGAAAACATTTTACGTCTGTCTTTTTATAGACTGAGAGCATGCATAGCCCTTTCAGAATTAAAAGTGTGAGCCTTTACTCCTTGGTTACAAGAGCAGTGTTGTTCAGGAAGGCTTTCAGTACAGGCATAAGTGAGGCTTTGATTTGGTATTTTCCCTATTTGTCATACAGAGCCAGTATTGTCGGCTTTCTGTGCTCTAAACCTGTAACAGCTGAGGGTCTGGCTGAGAGCTCAGCTGCTTTTTTTTTTTTTTTTTTTTTGCTTAAGCCACAAACTTGCTCCCTTTGCCAGCACCTGAGGGTGCAGGTGGCATCACTTGAATGTTGGCTGGAGACCTCCTTGGGCATTCCCACCTTTCCTCTGTATGCTCAGAAGGACAGATGAGCCTTTCTAGCACAGATTCCTGAGAAACAAGTAAATGATGCTGAACACATAACAAAGAGCCATAAGGTGCATCCCCAGACAGCCCGTTCAAATGGAGGAGTGTGCTGCTGTGGAGCTACAACAGATGTGGCTTTAGGTGTGACTGCCGGTGTGTGGGTTCAGTGGGGTCACACTTGTGGTTCTGTCATCCGTTAAATCTGTACAATAAAGACAAACCTTGGACAGCAGGTTCCAGAAGACTGTCCTCTTTGTGTGGATCACGGTGCTGGAGATGCTTTATATCTTGGAGGAGGTTGGTTGTCATTTGTTGTGGGCAACAAGCTTCTCAGTAAGTGCTTCGAGAGAAGAGGTAACGTAGCACCCTAGAGAAGGCAGGAATACCAGCTCTGGACAATAATCAAGTGGAAGTAGAATGGTTTCCAGTATCTTCCTCCTTCTCCACTGTGTAATGGCTGCAATTCTTAATGGAATTGTAACTGGTAAGAGAAGCTGGCAAGTGGGATGTAAAAATATGACAAAACATCTGTTAAAATAAGGGAGAATTAAATATTCATGCTGAAAACATTTTTCCTTGTGCATGTGCAGGAAAGTGAGCCAAGTTCTTTTTAATAAGCTTATTGCAGGCTTCACTGCTGATTAATCATAATGGAATATTTGATCAGAATGGTAATTGTTTTGCTGCGTGTGGCTACTTAATGTCCATCAGTATGAATTCAGCTTGTTTGAGGCTAAATTTTGCACAAGGTATTTTGAAGACCTGAAATTAAACTGATTTATGAAGCTTCAAGACAGATCTTTCCCTTTGTCATTGAGGCTTTGCTCTGTAAACAGTCCCAAATCCAGGGTTTTTAAACCTGCTTTGGCAGAAGTATTTAATGAGAGGTTTGACCCAGGGCATGTGAATATTTCTGCTTTAGCCCGTGCTCCTTATTAACTGCTGAAATTGAAATGCTTAAGTGCTGTCTTAACATAGTTACCTGTACTCTTCAGACATCTGTTAGTGTCAGGAAAGGTTTTAGATATATCCTCTTAATTCTAGAAACATCTACTTAGATAAACAAGTTTGAGTAAGTGAAAAGTGCACCTAGTGAAATGCCCTCTAAGATACTGCCAAAAATATTCCTTTCCCATTGTTTGAGGGTTGGTCTGTTTGAGGTGGGAGGGGGGGTGTCTCCTCCTTGCTCCAGTTCCAGATAAATCTTGTTCTCTCAGGTACCCTGTGCTCTCCGTAGCCCTGGCTTATTCTTCTCTCTCTGCAGAAGATGAGGTGATGGGTGAGAGAGATGAGGTGGTGGGTGTGGATCCTTGGCAGCTGAGCAAGCACAGAGTTGTGGAGCAGCAGCACTGAGGTGTGAGAGCTGAGAAGAGGCAGCTCTGCTCCTCCCTGTTCCTGGACGGAGGGCAAACTCCCCCGTGCTGCAGTTTGCACCGCACGGATTCGCATGCGGGCTGAGTCCCTGTGTGTGCAGGGTGCTGGTGGCCTCTCTGCATCAGTACTGAGTACAGCACTGCACAATGAGTCCATCTTTTTTACCCTCTTTCGAAGGAGAATGGATCGTTCTTTGTGGATTTACACAACCATTTACTCCCTGCAATAATTCAGCATCTTAGCTGCAGCTGGGAGACAAATGTCTCTTTAGTGTGGTTAGTTATTTGTTTGAAGAACAGCAACACCAAGTGGCCTCTGTGACATTGTCTTGCCCATAAGAGAGAGATAAGAGGAATTCCATGCCTGGCACAGCTAACTAAACATGCAAACATAGCTGGGGAAGGAAACACAGGCCCTGGAAAGCATGCCTGTGCCATCTGGGCACACATTGCATTCTCATTTTTGATGAAAAGGCAAACGGCATTGCTTATTAAAGAGTCATTGTTATGTTGGAGTTCTCCAAAGCTTTTTAAACAGCACTTTAAGGATGATTTTTGCCTTTTTATTTCCTTCAAATGCTTACGGACTTGTGTGTTTTTATGTTAGCCTGAGAGGATGCTTATCAAAGCTAAGGAAGTAGATATCATGCAGTGTAATTCAACACAAAACATGTCCATGCCCTTGGCCTCTTTCTAGGTCTATCAGAAACGTGTGGCCCTGATAACCATTCTTGCTCAAAACATAACTGGCTTCAAAAATAGGAGTTTAAAGCAAAACTGGATTTTTCTCATTGTGTTCTAATGTATAGCCTGCAGGAACTGGGTTTCCACACTTTCTCTGCAGGGTGCTAAAGCAGCATTGCAAGCTAGAGGTGAGTTGCAGGCTATTGCAATGTTTGAAGAACTGGAAATGGGAAGAAATCATGAAGCATTGAGATCAGATTGCTGAAGCTGGCGATTTCCAGCACCTGGAAACATGAGCTAGGACTCAAACCATTGGCATCCTTCTCAAAACACCCAAGTTCAGCTGCTTTAATGGGGCCACTATTACTAATGTAGGAGGACTCTTAATTTTTGGCACAAAATAGTTGATGAAATATTTTTTAATCAGCATAACTCTCTCTACCCCAGGCCCATAAATTCTGAGAAGATAACTGTATGTCCACCTGTGTCAGTGTATTTATAACAACTGTAAAAGAAAAATTATGT